ATAACATTTATTAACACATTTTTCAGCAACATGAATTTAAAGTTATTTGGAGAATAAACCCTCTTAAATGTCTCTCTACATACTGGTGTGTGTGTGTGTGTAATCCTTTAAAGGAGCATGTGATTGCAAACACAGTATTCTGTATGTAGTTACAGTAAATGGTAGGGATGCACTGAAATGAAAATTCTGGGCCGAAACCGAGAATTCTGGATGTGCTTGGTCGAAAACCAAAACCGAACATGCTTTGTAATAATTATTTATTTTATTAAATAATATAAAGTAATTTTGTAAGACTTTATAATTTAACTCAATTTTAATGACACAGAGTTTAAAAAACACAAGCCAATAAAATAACCACACTTTTATTGAAAGAAAATTGGACAGAAAATATATTAATATTAATCAATGTATTATTTTTATTCAGTTCTATGCAACAGAATCAGGCATAACTGTTGTTGTTGTTGTTGTAATGTATAGTTCTGCAAACAGGGTTTTTCCTTTCTCAAAATGCAGCGGAGGTGGTACCATCCTGATCATGTGCACACAATGTACCCACCCTTCAAGTGGCTGAAACAAACACTTTTCACACGCAATATATTTTAGGTGTTATAATAATTATAGCTATGATTAAAGAAAATTACAATTATAAAGTTATGTTTTATTTTCTCTCACCAAATGTTTTATTGTTATTTATTCCTAAATTAGCCTTATGAAATGTTTTCTTTTCCCTCAGAAATTCTGTGTTGTGTATCTGGTTATCAAATGAAGGCATACAATATAATTTAGCCTATCTTTAAATGATTGAAAAATAAACTGAATTTACTATTAAAATGAAAACATGGAAGAAATGTTGTGTGATAATTCCTTAAAAAATAAAGTTTTCATAATTTTAGTAGTAGTAGTAGTAGTAGTAGTATGTACATTCTGCTGAACAATAGTAATATATTTCTGCTGCAATGTCTTCAAATTAAACCGGACTTTTATTTTGACGGGTTGCCGTGAATTCCTTTAAAATTCTGTGTATATGACGCTAGTTTTACTCAAATGAAACGGTGAAACGCTCATGAAGTGACTCTCAGAGCAGTTATGTTGTTCATGTGTTTATGTCCTCATTGAGACGGCAGACGGTGAAATCACCGCGATTCAGTGTGTGTGTGTGTGGTAAAGGAAAACGCGCGTCTCTGCCATTCATTCATTCATTCATAGAGATATGATCGCGTAATATGAGTTAATGCTCATCAGATCGAGTAAAAATCAGAGGGAATTGAATAGAAATGATGGTTTTGTGTAAATAAATGTCAAGTAAAAATGTATAAAAATATAAAAACCCTGGCAAAGCTATTATTATCAGCAGAGCATAGCGGGGAGCAGATCAGTGAACGAGATTTTACCAGGGGCAAGTTCAAGCCCAAACCGGTGTGCACCGTTTTGCTAAGGTTTCCGGTTTGAACGACATGTTTCCGTGAAACGGTGTGCAACGGGTTTGAGATGCGTTTTCTCTTGTTTGGTGGGTGTGTCAAACATTGTCAGCCCAATCAGCAGCAGCATATATATAAACCACGCTGTATTAAAGAGACAGCAGGCACAATGTAATTAACATCAAAATAAGTTCACAAGAGCAAAAATATTGTTTGCACATGTTTATTTACATTAAAGGCAAAATAACTAAAATAATAAGAGCACAAGTATAGATCTGGAACTTCTTTAATTGATTTAAGTAAATATAATTTAGTAATTGCAATGTCTTCTGGTCGATATCCTTTCCTTAGGAAGGTGTGCTAAATACTGATTAATGTAATATAAAAACACTATACATGGCAAATGTTGGATCACAATAATTAGGAACCACAGTTTCCACAAATCCCTTCATTTAATTGGGATGTTCTCTTTTATTCTGGATGGCAAGGGCAGTGACTGCACCATCGAGCATATTTTGCAGTATTAAACACGTATTTATACCGATTTCATCAGGCTCTGAAAATTCTTCAAAAAGAACACAAAGAATGGCCTTCTCAGCTGCCATAGTTGCAACTCTTGCGTCATCAGAACAGGGTGTTCAACGCACCACCGTTTCCGTTTAAAAAATGTTTTGCACCGTTTTTGTCAGGGCTGAACGCAGCCCAGCGTTGCCCAGTACTGCAAACATGTACAAGTATACTACATAGAAATTTCTTGTCGGCGCGTTATTTGAGCGGACTTAGCTTTTCCGGTGTATATTTTCGGCGGCCGAAATTCAGTGCATCCCTAAATTAACTAAACGATTCTTCGAAGCACATCATTTGCCTCGATGATTTTTTTGTATTCGAGTTACCCGAGGAATCGTTTCAGCCCTACACTGAATAGTTCAGCTGCATTTTCTGAATTCTGGGTGGCAGTTGAGACAGAGGACCGTTAAGGAAACAACTAACTCTTGTCTCTCTCTCTCTCTCTCATTTAATCTCAAGGTTAGTTAAATTAATTAAATTTCATACCAAACTGTAATTTACATGTTTTAATGTCAAAATAATTTGTTTCAATTGATTATTTATTTTATTAATAATTAAGACACTTACAGTATGCCATAAAAAAGTTTTTTCTCATGTATCACTTACCTGAAATACTCACTTGAGTTGTTTACCTGAGATACTTACCTGAATTCAGGCCAGTTGTGAGTAAGAATTAGGGTATTTCTGTACATTTGGTTAAGTTTGCTATCATTATTGATTTATTTATTGTTTATTTGATTTAAGTATCTATACAGTGTCATCAGTGTTTGCAGTGTCAATCATTTTGTGATTCAAATTGTCTTACTGACTCTGAAATACAAATGTGTATATGTATTCAAAGACAACAAAGAGGACCGTTAAGGAAACAACTAACTCTTGTCTCTCTCTCTCGTTTAATCTCAAATTGATTACTGCTTACCGTCTTCCTGACTGCCCGGGACTTGTAACAGTTTCCTACATTCTTCAAAATATCTTCTCTTTTGTGTTCCACAAATGAAAAAAGAAAAACTCATACAGGTTCAGAACAACCCGAGAGTGAGTAAATGACAGAATTTTCATTTTTGAGTGAACTATTCCACATCAGTGTATAGTTGTCTCTGTACAATATGATAAATTATTTTAACACTGAAAAAACACCATTGATTAGAAGTAGAGCTGTAGTCAAGTCCAGCTTTGTCGAGTCCAAGACCAGGACTAATCGAGACCGAGTCCAAAGAGGTTCAAGTCCAAGTCAATTCCAAGTCCAAAAGTCAAGACCGAGTCCAAATGAGAGAGAAAAAAGGATCCTCTTCAAGACCACATACTTAACTATTGATAATGTATGCGATGCGAGAGACAGCATATCTCATATTCTAAGAAAATTTTACATTTTACAAAGTAACAACTCTGTAGGACAGGGGTCTCCAAACTACAGTGGTGTGAAAAAGTGTTGGCCCCCTTCCTGATTTCTTATTTTTTTTGCATGTTTGTCACACTTTAATGTCTCAGATCATCAAACAAATTTAAATATTAGTCAACGATAACACAAGTAAACACAACATGCAGTATTTAAATGAAGGTTTTTATTATTAAGGGAAAACAAAATCCAAAACTACATGGCCCTGTGTGAAGAAGTGTTTGCCCCCCTGTTAAAACTGTGGTTTATCACACCTGAGTTCAATTTCTCTAGCCACACCAGGACCTGCCTGACATCCTGGAAGGCCAATGCCCTGCAGAGTTTAGCTCCAACTGGCCTTAACACACCTATCTGGAAGTTTCTAGTGCAGGGGTGCCCAAACTCGGTCCTGGAGGGCCAGTGTCCTGCAGAGGTTAGCTCCAACTTGCCTCAACACACCTGCCTTCAAGATTCTAGTATGCCTAGTAAGAGCTTGATTAGCTGGTTCAGGTGTGTTTAATTGAGGTTGGAGCTAAACTCTGCAAGACACCGAGTTTGGAGCTGTAGGATCAAATTATTTTTATTTACATTTTATTTACTTTAGGTATAGCAATATCAAACAAACTGAAGTGCAACTTCACATTTTCAGTCTTTTTATTATGTAACAATATTGTTATACAATATTATGTATATTATACTACTTTAAAATATTAATTGTGTATAACAATATTATAGTGTAACAATAACATTCTGGGCTGTAACAAATAACAAGCAACACAGGTGTCACTAAAAAATTTACAAAACATTTGAACTCCAAAAATGACTGCAATGAACATGTTCCCATTCTTGAACTTATTACTTGTAATAAACCAATGGAGCATTTTCAACAAAAAAAACAAAGTAATAAACATGAATATCTTCAGCTATGTGTGTGTGTGTGTTTGCCTTTTTAAATATAATAGGCCATATAATATATAACATATTCAGGAGTACCAGTCAAATCAAAATCCCCCAGGGGATTACCAAGACCGTTTTAGTGCAGAATTGGATGCAAGTATGGGATAGCAGGACCCTGACCCGAACTGGCTCTGCATCTTAGAAGTAGATGATAACATAAGAAAAAGATTGATTTGTTGGATCAGTATTTGACTCTTCGCTTTCACTTTCAAACACACATAGATACACACGGAAGCTGGGTTCAGAGTTAATGATCCATGGCTCTTTTACTTTGATTTGGTGGATTAAAGAGGTTTTAGATCAAGGAGAGCTCTCACACACACATACACACAAACATACAAAATGGCGCTTCAGGTACTGAGACAAACACACACCCAAAAACCCATGCGCACAATTTTTTAAAGTCTCCAACACCCACCCTTTATCTGATGTCTGAAAGGGTCTCTCAAATCCCTCTCTCACACACACAACCTTTAAACTACTTTCATCTGAAAACCTCTCAAAACGCCCCTAGACTCAATCAGCAGTGGTAATGGAACGGCGGCCTTTATATCCTGACTCCAGCTCTGCTCAGAAGAAGAGAGAGAGAGAGAGAGGTGAACATCCTAATCATTTTTTTGATTTGGTGGATTAAAGAGGTTTTAGATCAAGGAGAGCCCTCACACACACATACATACAAAATGGCGCTTCAGGTACTGAGACAAACACACACCCAAAAACCCATGCGCACAATTTTTTAAAGTCTCCAACACCCACCCTTTATCTGATGTCTGAAAGGGTCTCTCAAATCCCTCTCTCACACACACAACCTTTAAACTACTTTCATCTGAAAACCTCTCAAAACGCCCCTAGACTCAATCAGCAGTGGTAATGGAACGGCGGCCTTTATATCCTGACTCCAGCTCTGCTCAGAAGAAGAGAGAGAGAGAGGTGAACATCCTAATCATTTTCATATTAAGATCTAGAGCCGTGATATAACCAAGACACAAATATAGAGCTACATCCTGTCAGTGAGAAAGGTCATCACTTCCAGAGAGTTCTCCTTTCATGGCAAAAATGGTTTCGTGGGAAGCCCTTTATGGTCTTTAAGGCATCCATTACTCACATGATTTATTAATCATATCTCGGCTAAACACATCCTCAAAAATGTGTTTACTTTTGCTTAAAGCATGCTCTCTGCACTACTTTTATATTTTGATTAACATAATTTATATCCCTGAATCAAGGATGCATTAAATTGATCAAAGTGACAGTAAAGACTTTACATTATAACACAAATTATATTTTAAATAAATGCTGTTCTTTTGAACTTTATTTGAAATCCTGGGGGGGGGGGGGCTATAAAAATTTCCACAATTTGAGGCTGTTTTCAACACTGATAATAATAATGTTTCTTGAACACTAAATCAGCATATTAGAATTAAGATTCAAAACACAGGAAATTCCCTACAGACCCTGAAAAATACTAGTTCTCTTCCAGGTCAGGACTAGGGTTTTTAGTCTACTTTTACAATTCTTAATTAGGTCTGGTGTATGTTAAGGAAACGGCTCACATCATGAATAACATATATGGGGTGCTGCAGTACTTGTGCCACATGATTATTTTGAGCAGTTGGGAACATGATAGAAATGTTACATACTCAACAAGGGCTTAATCTCAGCTGAACACATCACACACATTTCAGTTCATCTCCATCTGAGATGAAAGAAAGCAGAAGTCTCAGGAAGCGATGTCTCCTTGGAATATTAAGGCTGATGAGGGATTTGAACCGCATGCTACTAAACAAATGCTTTAAGCACTGATGCAACTGAGCTTTTTCCGAAGATCTTCCACACTGCAGAAGACTTCTCTTTTCTAAATATCAAAGGAATATTAATATACTAAACTTCATTATACAATCTTCAAACATGCCCTTCAGAACTGCAGGAGGGTAAAACATGACACTCCATTAAAAGAAACACACAGCAACGTCGTGGGCACATCTTTTTCTATAAGAGAAAGCGAGAGAAAGAAAAAAGCAACTATTTATAGTGCAAACACATGAAAAACATCAAACAGCAATGTGCTAGGGGAATAAATGCTGCATTGACATTTAAAACGTTTAATCCTCCATTAAAAAGCTGAAGGAGTAATAATTTCGGCCACTTAAAAGTGTAGTAAAATAAAAAAAATTACTGAAAGTTTGTTCCTCTGTGCACAAACATGGTCAAACAGCAATAAAAAAAACTGACTTGAATCGAAAGCTACAATAGTTTCAAAATATTTTCCACAAAACTGCCATAAATCAAAAAGCTGAACTAGGGTCAAGCTACTTTTGAATAATTAGTTAGCTAGTAGGTAAAAACACTGAAGATAAAGATCACAAAATCACAGATTTTTGGAGGGCAAAGATGAAAAACAAATAAATTGGTTCTAGAAACTTCTTATCTGAATAAGTGACAGTATTTTTTTACAGCAGATTTTAGGTTTACATAATACATTTACACAATTAATACATCAAAACTGCAAAACTGTCACAACCTTAAATGAACAATGAACATCGGTTATTAATTAGCAGTATATTTAAGATAAAGCTATAAAAATGAATGATATAAAAAAAAAAAAAAAAAAGATATATACATATACAGTGGGGCAAAAAAGTATTTAGTCAGCCACCAATTGTGCAAGTTCTCAAAGTGATTTGATACGGTTCCCTGCAGGATTCAATTAATTCAACTGTAATATAGTACTAGCTTATGGAAGCTTGTTTCCACCACGGGGGGGAAAAAATAAAGATAATTGCAATTTTTTTTAACTCGGGAGAAAAAAAAGAGCCAGAATTGTGAGATAAAAAGTCAACAATTTTTTTTTTATTCAGTGGTGGAAAAAGGCTTCCATACTGGCTAGCTAGCTAACAACCCTACAGTTAAGTGAGTGGTTTCATTGTGGTACATATATCAGTTGCTTTATTGCAGGAAAGACATGTACCTGTCCTCAGCCTAAGCAAAAGCCCCACTCTTCACCAGTGGTAACCCAGTTTAACGGAACTTGTTATAAATCAACATAATATCTATTTCCCTCTTTTCTTATCTTGCTCAAAAACACAACAAATTATGCTTAATTTCAAAATTTTTACTCTCCCCTTTAATTCCCATGCAAAGCATGCTGGGAACTACAGTTTCATTTATGTCATCATCAAAAACAATTTGCCCATCATAATCAGTAATATGATTGAGCAAATCAGACAATCTGTGTTTTCCCTTTTTTTCAGTATACTTCAGTTGGTCCTGTTTTGAGACATCAGGCACTAACTACTCATTTAAAGATGCAGTAATCAGTACAACAGCATGTAGCCTGTGCCCCTCAATCATACATCAAAACAGACCGTACAGAATATGCAAACAACAGATGATGATCCATCTTTGATATGATACAATACAAACTGATGACATCTGGTCTGTATATTATTGTTAAATATGTACATACCATACCTGTAGTATCTACCTGTGAAAAATAATCCCAAATAAATGCAAGTACTCATATCTTCTTTCTGCATGTTTTTTAGTGGATTGCATTTGCGTGTTATGACAGTACTAAAGTTCCTGATCAAATATCTACTGTATAGCCTTACAAGCAGAACTCCCAACTCCCAAGCAAGACCTCATTAGTGTTAATGAAAATGATTAAAATGTTCCCTATTTTTCACATTTGGTTTAGAAAGATGATATACTTGTTTTCTAGTTTGAGAATGAGTGTAAACTTGTGTAGTTTTTATTTTATTTTATAAATAATACATATATTTAGCAAGCATGCATTCAATTGATCAGAAGTGACAGGAATGACATTATAATTTCACATAAATGCAGTTCTTTTGAACTTTCTATTCATCAAAGAACCCTGAAAAAAGTATCACAGTTTCCACAAAAATATTAAGCAGCACAACTGTATTTAACATTGATAATAATAAGAAATGTTTCTTGAGCACCAAATCAACATCTTAAAATGGCTTCTGAAGGATCATGTGACACTGAAGACCGGAGTAAAGGCTTCTGAAAATTCAGCTTTGCATCACAGGAATAAACCACATTTTAAAATACTTTTTTTTTTTTGTAATAATATTTCACAATACTACTGTTTTTAGCATAAGAGACTTCTAGCATAAGATATTTTTCCATAACACTGGAAGTCAAGAGATCTAGATTTTGTAAGAAGTGTTTTTCAGCAGTGGATCTGGTTTACTGCCTTAGGACAGGATTTAAAGGATTGGTTCATCCAAAAACGAAAATCTGATTATTTACTCACTCTCATGTCATTCCAAACCAGCAAGTTTGTTCCGTGTAACATAAAAGCAGAAATTATGAATAATTGTACTAGTTGCTCTTTTCTATGCCAATACAATGAATGTGGGTCCATCCCTGATGTAAAACTATTATATGCCTTCAAAAGTCTTAGAATATAGCACACAAGTCACATAGACTCCTTTTAGAATCTTGAAAGTGTCAGTTCCCATTCATGGCAATTGGATGAAAAATAAAACACTAGCATCATTTTCAGAAGTTCTCTTAGTTTGGGCTTTAGGTGAACTATTCCTTTAAACACTCATTTAAAGAACTTTTACAAGTCTCAGAAATATTTCAATACAAATACTGCCCTCTTGTGGACTCCTATCGCAGACAGTGATAAAAGCTTTTTTCCTGTGCAAATCCAGTTGTTTTTTTCCAGTTGCATAAATATAGTCACCACGTTAAGACTGTCTTAAGAACTAGTTTGACTAACTAGCAGTTAACCAAGTGGTTATCAGTCTGTCTTTTCAGATTCAAATGAGATCAATCTACATTTTTATGTAACTGACTTTAAAAAAAATTATGACCAGTCTTGCAGAAAAAAATTAGGTGTCTAACTTTTAAGACTAGTCTTTACAACCGGCCACTGGTTAAAAAGCATATTTTGCAATATTCAAAAGCTAATATATAACTATCAGTTATTCAACTTTTACAGGAGAAAAATTAGCAATGACAGGCCTGACCTAAACAAAGCAATGCACTCACTGACACAAGTTCCATGTCTATTTTCTCTCCGTTTCTATTTTTGACTGTTTACTGAAGAATAGAGAAAAGTGATGAAAGAGCTTTTTGATGCAAAGAAAATTATGACTCATGGCTTTAACAGAAAGGTTATGCAATTTTGATGCAAACGAGGCACAAAAAATACAGCAAAGAGCTGAATGTCAACAGCTTCTCTTATGTTTGCCTCTTGTAATCATATTTTAAGAACAGAATGCTCTGTACATGTGTGGAGATGGTGAAAAGGCCAAAGATTAATGTTAACATTAGGAACTGTGAGGGTTTGCATTTTTACTGACTGATGCACATGATTCTGACAACAAGTATTTAATATATTCCAGATGGATTTATGTAACACTGTCATGCTGGGGTGAGTTTTCATTTTATCTTAAATTTAGCAAGACAACTTAAGCGAATAATTGCTTTCTCGCCCAGAGATAATTAATCAAGTAAACTATACCAACATTAAACAAACAGTTCACCCAAAAATAAACATTTGCTTAAATTTTTTTTCAGGCCACCCAAGATGTAGACGAGTTTGTTTCTTCATCGGAACAGATTTGGAGAAATGTAGCATTACATCACTTGCTCAGCAGTGGATCCTCTGCAGTGAATGGGTGCCGTCAGAATGAGAGTTCAAACAGCTGATAAAAACAACACAATAATTCACAAGTAATCAACATAACATCAGCCCATCAATTAATGTCTTGTGAAGCAAAAAGCTGCATGTTTGTAAGAAACAAATACGTCATTAAAGCATTTAGTGTTAAACCGTCACTTCTAGCCAAAACACCAGTCCATAATCCATAATAATGCTTCCTGCACTGAAAAAGTCCTGCTGTTCTTTCATATCAAAATCCACTGGCATGTGTTCATAACCGTTTTCACTTGTAAACAGTGGCATACTTCTCTGCATATTTCCGTTCCAATTCAGATGAGATTACTTTTTCACGGGAGAAAGCAATAATGGATAGAGATGCAATGGTTTGAAGTTGAAAACTTCTTAATGATGGATTTGTTCATTACCACCTTGCAGCTTTTCTCTTCACAAGATATTAATTGATGGACTGGAGTCGAGTAGATTACTTGTGAATTATTATTGGCCAGAAGTGACGGTTTAAAGCTAAATGCTTTAATGATGTATTTGTTTCTTACAAACATGCAGCTTTTTGCTTCACAAGACATTAATTGATGGGCTGAAGTTATGTTGATTACTTGTGAATTATTGTGATGTTTTCATCAGCTGTCTGGACTCTCATTCTGACGGCACCCATTCACTGCAGAGGATCCACTGGTGTGCAAGTGATGTAATGCTACATTTCTCCAAATCTGTTACAGTGAAGAAAAAAATGTATCTACATTTTGGAAGGCCTGAGGGTGTATTTTCATCAAATTTGGATTTTTAGGTGAACTATTCCTTTACGACCACAATTTTATGCAATAACAGAAGGTGATTTTAACAACAAACAGCAAGCAGAAGATTTGAGCTCATTTCCCCTTCTCTCTTCATATTGCTCATTATAAAACAACCAAGTACCTGATTACCAAACTGGAACAACAAACATTCAAAACAGAACAGAGCAGCATTAAAGTCTCTCCACAAGCATGGAATTAGTGCTGGCAGTTTGCCAAACCAGCATATTTACATGTTAAATATATCACATTGTTAAATCATTGAAAATGCCCATGACATAAAACAAAACACAACAACATGAATCTGAATAAATGAAGACATTTCTGTGCAATGTTTGATGGACCATTAATCAATGTGCCAGACACATTTTCCCTACTCCCATCAGCTCCCATCAATCAAACAGGAAACACTTGCTTAAATTTTTTGAGCGGTTTGACAAAAGCATAAATTTTGCATTTAGAGCTGGTGAAAGGCCAGAAACTTCTGTGCTTCTGTGAGAAACTGGTAGTTTCAAGAAATAAGCTGGCCTTTGTGCCCATATTAGTACCTGATAAATGAGTATTATGATATTATGATGACACTTTGAATGATATATTAGTTATGTTCCAAGCTAAATCTTTCTAAACACACTTAAGACTCATCTGAATATCAATATATGACAGATGCTTAACGTCTTTCACTATCCAATGAAAAACAATTACTGCTTAGTAGAGATGCATCTAGCACCATTTGTCCCCGTGTCCAACTTTTATTCAAGTGGTCACTAAATGGTCCTATATAGTCTATATGAACCTTGAGAGTAATTTCATTCCGTGTAAAATACGCTTTTTAGATATTTTTACTATACTACTAAATGCTGCTGTTCACAAACAAACAAACAAAATGTAAATGTCTAGTCAGCTGGATCTCACTAAAAAATGTTTCACCCCAAAACCAAAAGATAAAAATAGAGAAATTATTCTTTCTAGTAACATAAAAAAAATATTTGTATTACTATAATATATATATATTTACATGTTAAATATATCACATTGTTAAATCATTGAAAATGCCCATGACATAAAACAAAACACAACAACATGAATCTGAATAAATGAAGACATTTCTGTGCAATGTTTGATGGACCATTAATCAATGTGCCAGACACATTTTCCCTACTCCCATCAGCTCCCATCAATCAAACAGGAAACACTTGCTTAAATTTTTTGAGCGGTTTGACAAAAGCATAAATTTTGCATTTAGAGCTGGTGAAAGGCCAGAAACTTCTGTGAGGACAGACAAAACTGGTAGTTTCAAGAAATAAGCTGGCCTTTGTGCCCATATTAGTACCTGATAAATGAGTATTATGATGCTGGTTTGACACTTTGAATGATATATTAGTTATGTTCCAAGCTAAATCTTTCTAAACACACTTAAGACTCATCTGAATATCAATATATGACAGATGCTTAACGTCTTTCACTATCCAATGAAAAACAATTACTGCTTAGTAGAGATGCATCTAGCACCATTTGTCCCCGTGTCCAACTTTTATTCAAGTGGTCACTAAATGGTCCTATATAGTCTATATGAACCTTGAGAGTAATTTCATTCCGTGTAAAATACGCTTTTTAGATATTTTTACTATACTACTAAATGCTGTTGTTCACAAACAAAATGTAAATGTCTAGTCAGCTGGATCTCACTAAAAAATGTTTCACCCCAAAACCAAAAGATAAAAATAGAGAAATTATTCTTTCTAGTAACATAAAAAAAATATTTGTATTACTATAATATATATATATATAAAAAATAAAAAATACTTTTATAAAATATAGATACTTTTAAATCATATAAAATTACCCACATTACTGTGAAAATTAAGATTAATTGTCTTGAAAATAATGTCACGGTGTAAAAGAAACAAATGTATGGCCTAATTTTTCTTTTGATTTTGGGTTGAATGAGACCCAGACATGTTCCTGACACAAATTATTATTATTATTATTATTATCATGGCTAAATTGGTGTTGACGAAAGTCACACATGCACTATTCAGTTTAACTTTAGAGTAATACTCATGCATCCTAATAAGACAGTTAGACAACACTCAGTGGTCCTGATTACTAAAACATTTATAGATATAGCAAAGTTTATATTCCTCTCTCTCATATCCAAAAAAAAAGTGGGTATCTGCTTCTACACAATATGCAACCAACAGTTGATCATAACAGAAATAACTTAAACAATTTAAAATGCTCAAGAATAATGAAACTCCATTTAGTGTGTGTGTACTATTAATGACTACTGTTCTTATAAATATGCACATGGTTACTGTTGAGTATCTGACTGTAAATTCATTATAGTGCAAACTTAAAATGTTTAAGATGTAACAAATGTGAAAGACGAAGAAAAATAATTTAAAAAGGAAAGGCAAAAGATGAGGCAGAAAGAAAGAAGTGAGAGAGATAAAATGAGTGTATGAGCGTGTAAAGTGAGAGGTTTTCAGTCCAGAGGCACCTCTCTCAGATTTGCTGGGTCAGCTGTAGCCTGTTTGGATTCTCTCATCTTATCTAGGCCAAACAGCAGGTCCAGTTGAGTCACGGGCCTCAGCTGCGTGCTGTCCACATGCCTGAGGACACACCAGAGGACACCAGGACAAAATCAGTGATGAGTAATGTACTTTTACATACATTACTGCATATTTATACAGCATTTCAAAACACCTAAGAATACTCAAGAATATGTTGAACGGTTTCTCTTCTAACAAAACAGAAGAATGAACCAGCTGAACAACTACTTGAGATTAATGGGACAGATTTCTCCAGATATTATAAACCTCTTTGGTTAGGGCATGGTGCACGAGCTGCATGTTGTGCACACAAATAAAATGCCACCATTGTGTGTGTGTGTGTGGTATTATACAAAACATAGACATACTCTTCTTCATCCAGCTGGAACTGTTGTGCGATCTGTTTCATCTGCTGTTTGCGGACATAGTCTCTAACGCGGTACATGGCAGCGTCCCTGCAAAGCTCTTTCAGATCACTGCCGGAGTAGCCCTCGGTTTGAGCCGCTATTTCTTTCAGGTTAATTGCATTACTTAACTGATGAAAAAAAAGATTCAAATAAAATAATTTATATATAGGCTATACGCTACCGTTCAAAAGTTTAGGGTCAGTAAGATTTTTTTAATGAATGCTTTTATACAGCGAAGATGCATTAAATTGCATCCATTTCAAATAAATACTGTTAGTTTGAAATTTATATCATCAAAGAATCTGGTTTCCACAAAAATATTAAGCAGCACAACTGTTTTCAACAATGATAATAAGAAGCAATGTTTCTTGACCATTAAATCATCAAATTAGAATGATTTCTGAAGGATCATGTGACACTGAAGACTGGAGTAATGCATGGCTGCTGAAAATTCAGCTTTTCCGCCACAGGAATTAATTATATTTTAAAGTATATTCAAACAGAAAACACAATTTAAATTGTATTATTATTTCACAATATTACGTATTTATATCCACTTCAAAACCTTACTGACCCCGAACTTTTGAATGGTTGTGTAAATATATGGATTTCTGCCACTTCACCTTTAATATAAGCATTATATTTAAAGACAAAACATTTTGTGAAGGAATTGTGGTGCAGATGAAGAAGAGCTTAATGTCTTACATTTTCTCCAGACAGAATAAGTCTAAGGATTTCTTCTCTTTGAGCTGCATTCTGAAATTGGACCAAAAATAATTATGTTTTATCCTGATTAAGACAGCCTATTAACAAAAACAAGAGCATAAAAGTGTGTGTGTTCAGCAAACTCACAGGCAGGCCTACATGAAAGGTTGTGGGCATTCTGCGCAGTATTGCTGCATCCACATCCTGTGGTCTGTTTGTGGCCCCCATCACCATTACCTGGACATTGACCTCATTACACTTTTACTTTCTATTAATCACTTTTGAGGAAATGCAATGACCTCTAAAACCTACATATGTGTGTGTTACCTGGCTGCTTGCGTTTGTGTCTAGTCCATCCCACAGACTCATGAACTGGGCTTTCATCATAGCGGTGGCCTCATGGTCCATACTGGAACGATTCCTCAAGAATGAATCTGATGCAAGAGTTTATGTGGATATACATGTAATAAACCCACTATAAAATCAACCCAAGAAATGTAAACAGTAGCATGAGGAAACTACAGAACTACATAAACAGTACCGTTTTTTTAATGTTTCTGAAAGATATATCTTATGCTCTTCAAAGCTGCATTTATTTGATCAAAAATACAATTAAATCAGTATTATTAAAATTTTACAATAACTGTTATTTTAATATATTTTAAAATGCAATTTATACCTATAATGAAATTGCCATTAGTCCAGACTTCAATGTCACAAGATCCATCAGAAATCATTCTAATATGCTGATTTGGTGCTCAAGAAACATTTCTGATTATTATCAATGTTAAAAACAGTACCGCTTAATATACTTGTGGAAACTGTGATACTTTTATTTTTTCAGGATTTTTGGTGAATAGAAAGTTTTTTTTTTATTGTTTATTTTATTTTTATTTTCTTTTAAAAAAAATGTTTTATTTGAAATATAAATCTTTAGCAACATTATAATTAATTTAATGCATCCTTGCTAGAAAAAAAGCAGTCATTTCTTTCAAAAAATTCACTAATCCCAAAATGTTTTAATGTATTATATTTAAATCACATATTATAAATATATATATATACACTTCACAGTTACATAAGATTATATACAGTGCAACTATTTAGTCATTTTTAAACAAGAAATTACTTAGAAACTTTTTTTGCAGTCTTAGTTTTGTCAATTTCCCATTTTCAGGGTCTGTCATTTAATATGTGGTACTGGCTTTAATTACTTAAAATAATGAACCTTTACTGCTATTTCAGCTAGTATGCTATGATAAAATGCCTGAGAGACTCAGTTTCACAGATAATGGGACACATTACATTATTATTCAAATGTCATCAGCACTGAAAAAACAGTGCCTAGATTGAGCCTTGAAAACATTGCAGTCATTATGCAAATCTGCATGTACCACATTTTCCATAAAATCCATGAATATAAAACACCTGCATATACATAGGGATTACAGGTAGGTTTATCACCATAGTAGTGCTGAGTGAATTTATTCAGCACATTCAACAAGCTGGCATTTTAATATGTTTCCTATCTGTCTGGAATCCCTAAATATCTGCCAGATATTTAGACCACATTCAGTAGTTACCTATTTCATCAATGAAAATGATGCAGGGCTGAATCTTGACAGCCAGTGAGAATACACCAGCAGTCAGCTTCTGCGATTCGCCGTACCACTTATCAGTCAAAGTGGAGGCCTGGAGATTAATAAAGCGGCATCCAGATGCTTTCGCTGTTGCTTTCGCAATTAAAGTCTTTCCACATCCTGGTGGCCCATACAATAGTACACCTGTGAGTCAGAAAAAAAATAATGAATAACCATCTTTACTTTCATATTTCTCATATATTGCCACTACATGTACAATAGGGCTGCACAGATTTGCTTTATTATAATTTCATTTGAGCAGATTTTCTCAACAGAGATTGCTAAACTCCAACATACATGTTTTCTGGCGTTTTCAAATTATTATTAGTGCTTTTTTTCTTAGTGCAGAGCGTGTGGTTGCCAGATTGAATACGTTGATTAAGTAAACACTGGACAAAAATTGCATTTATAAAAAAAAAAAAAAGATTTGAAATCTGGCAACCCTAAGTTTTTGATATATTTCATATTTTGTGTGGTCAGTTCACAGCAGTGATAGAAATTAATCTTTTCCAATACGTTTAAATAGATTTTTACCTTTTATGTGCATTTTTACCTTTATAAAGCCATTTTTTCTAAAAGTGTGCATCATCTTTTGAGTCAAATTCTTACATTTAATCAGTCAATTATAATAATGATACATTTAGGCTGATACTAAACAAATGAAATCAGTATTAACAAAATTAATCTTTGCAGAAGTTGCATACGAAGATTTAGATGTATTTACATATGTTAATGCAGCTTAGAGGGACATGGAATGCTTTAACCTGCAGTTGCAAATGCATAAATAATGTTTTGATATTTTAAACATGAAATTTTGAATACTGATATTTGAAACAATTTTAAAAATGAAAAGATACATTAGATGTAAAATTAAAACAATTAAAACCGCCAGTAGGCGGCAGCAAGTCGCTGTTAATAAGTGAGTCATTGCGGCTGAACCGAATCATTTAAACGGTTGATTCATTCAGGAACAAAACACCGTCACGTTGCTCAGAGACGCAACACAGTGCAGTGGCTGTGTTTGGAATTATTTTTGTTGGCGAAATAGAGCAAAAGCAGGCATGGTGTCTAAAACGTAAGTCTCTTTATATTAACTTATTGTTTATTGAACTGTTGTATAAAATCAATTCACAATTCACATTTGTAACCATGCTGATTTTTTATTTAAAATGGCACTCTTCATGTGATATTGATTAACTATATGAAATTATATAAATATATACATTATCTTGAATTATGTGATCATTCTTAATGCATATTAATAGGCTGAATCATGCACTGAAAGAACACACTCTAAATGCCTATGTGCACTAAGTTAATGTAGTCGCTTTTGCGGATGCGTGCACTCTGAAAGGGGTTTTGTTTGGTGTTTGCAATATTCTCGATAATGTAATGAGTTCAGTATTTGCGCTAAATCTGCGCAGATTTGGCTTGCAAGAACTTCCCCAAGAAATTAATGAGTGAACATAAACTTACAAAAAGTGACCCGCCAAATTGGCTAGTGATTTGACAGCGTTACCCGCCACCGCTGATTTTTACCCGCATTTGGCGGGTGTTCATTTCAAACCCTGCTTGTGACCAACACAAAATAACGCAAATGGAAAAAAAAATCTGATAAATAAATAAACCACTAGGTAAACATTGCAGATAATAATGCCTAATTAACTGAGAGAAGCAATCAAAACACGATCATGATAAAAATGTGATTTATCGTGTAGCACTAATGCACAATAAAAATAGGAGACAAAACACACACTCCAACAGAACTGTGGTTTCATGTGCTTTCTCCATGTCTCACCTTTGGGAGGTTGCAAGAGCTTGGAACCACAAAAGAGGTGACGTTTCTGGAAAGGCAAGATGACAGTGTCTTGCAGCTCTGAGATGATCTCATCTAGTCCAGCAACATCTCTCCAGGTCACCTTACAAGGAAAAGAAGGAAGATATTCTATCATACAAGCTACTAATGACTTGGAAGGCTGGTGGGAGGCCAGTGCTTATAATGATTGCAGGTCACACCTTCATGGGTGTGAACAGAGAAACGACTTCCAATCTGTCAACACAATTCAGTTCGAAATCAGTTTGAATAGTAATACTAAAGCTGAACGGACAATGTAAAATTACATAACTCTTGTCTTTATTACCACTAACAGCAAAATTTCAAAATGTTGATGTAATGAGAGGGACCGTGTGATTTGATGAAAGGTTTGCACTGACTACAACAGTATTGGTGGTTACTTTGATGCTGCGTGGATCGACAAGAAGAGTTGCGATGTTCATTTCATACTCCGTCAGACTGACGCCCTCTACACCTATTTGCTTCATCAACTGCTCTGCCTGGGGAAAGTGAGGGGTGGATGAATAAATGAGTCAATAATTGAACAATTTAAAATAAATAATTTAAATAAATGTACCATATAATAATTCACAACAAATAATGGCCAAGCCATAAAAGAATCAACTGTTTTTGAAACTGACTCCAAATCTATTTTTAAGCACTTTGAGCTACAGGCTCACATGAAACGCTGTATTTAAATTGAATGTATTATTCCTTGGAACACATTCTGTAGCAGAGATATCTTTACCCTTTTCTTGGCCTGGTTTTTTTGTTTTTGTGTCGGGTCAAAAGCCTCCACCACCCATTTGATGCTGTAATATGTTGCAGCTCCAAAGATGGTCAGTCTCACCAACATCCCCACCACCTCATTCCGGGTGAGAGGGCGGAGGAGGGCGTCCCGAGGAATGTCACTCAACATTTTGGTCCACCCCCGCTGTCAGCCCATTGGACAAGAAAAACAAACTGGGTGTGTCAATCTAGAACAGAGCAGGTAGAAATATTCACAGTGCATCTAGTACATGACCTCTATCTTGCTTTTTTGTCATACACTTAAAGATCCAAATTTAATAAAAATTTGACTGACCATTAATAAAAAATTACAGGCTTCATATTTAGCCATGTATGAAAGGTATTCACAATACAACAGTATTATTATAGAGTATTACTATGAATATATTCGATTAACCAAATAAAAACGACGACAGCAAATAATATCGCCGTATGTAAAACTATATTTTAACTGCAATGCATAGTAAGAGAGAGACATCCTACAAAAATTTAGACGATTTTTGGTTCTAGATAGATTCTTTTTCAGAGACGCTCATCACATTACGGAAATCACAGGCGAGTGCCATGCACAGTCTCATAAACAAGACATAAACATCAAAACACAGTACATTTATATAAAATTCACTCACATTTCACAGCAGCACTGTAATCCACACACATCGACTTGTGTACCGCACTACACGAACCGTCCGGAAAATACATTCTATAAACACAGGTTCCTACGTCCGTCCTGAGGTTTGTTGTTGTTGTTGTTGTTGTAATTATTACAAAATGGCAATAAATAAATAAATAAACGTGACGTTGGCTTGCTCAAAATGTTGTTTAACACCCATTTAAAAAACATTGCATATCGACATAGCAAAATATGCTGGTGGCCACAAGAAAAACTAGTCAGAATAATACAGAATAATAAATTCTGCTTGATTTGACAGGCTATTGGTGTCTGTATGTCTATTATCTAAACTTAAAATGTAGATTTTTTTCAGAGTGTTTATTTATTTAGTTAGTTAAAGTAGTTGTGTGTGCAATAAGCTCCTACCACTCGCTAAATTAAAGGAAGAAGCTCTGTGTGTGTGTTGAGCAAAACAGAGTGCTGATCAAGCAGTTTTTAATTATCAAACTATTAAAGAGCAACCATGTTGGTTTTGGAACACACAGGGGTTTTATTAAAAATCCACATCTGTTAATAAAAAAAAATGCAACGTACTTAGCCTACCTAAAGTCTAGCGTAGCTGGTTGATCTGCACACATTTCCTCAGTAGCCTACTTCATCATCATCACCATCACAAATGAAACAACATATTAGGTTTGTTTTACTGACGTTCTGTACCCTCCTCTTGTCTCTGACGGACAGTAATTGACATATTCTTATCAGTTTACCAATCCAGCCCTCAGTTCCTTTACAGACCACATGAGGGCAAACTTGGCATATTCAAATAAACTGTCTGAAAGAAAGTCAGAACACTTGAGACTGTATCAGCCTCCGTAATAAACCAGAAACATGGATGCATAAAATATTGAAGGTAAATTAAACTGGAGATTGTATGCTTGCTGGCATCAAGGAGTCATTATCTTCAAAAACAGGGACTAGTTTTGGCTTCAAGCCAGTAAATAAACTAAGAATGGTTGTGTTTGATTAGTTGCCTTGCCATGGTGCTCGCATCTTCCTGTGATGGATGCAAACTGGGAGATGCATTCATGTAATTTCTTCAATCTTTCAATTAGCGGAGAAAACTGTGTGCATTTAGGCTACATAATGCGGCAAAGGTGAATTCTGTTTTAATCTGTTCATAGACATTCCTGCTAGCGCTTTGTTGGCTGCTATTCAGAAATATTATGTTTGCAATTATTCTCTTTTTAGTCCAGTGATATCTGGGCTAAAGAAGGAAGAGAGTAGGTTATTCTTTATGAAAGGAATAGTTAACTCAAAAATGAACATTTGTTGAAAAGAATTAACCTGCAAATTCCTTAATGATGGATTACAAACACGTAACTTTTCACTTCACTAGACGTTATAACTGATGGACTGGAGTCATGTGAATTGCATTACTTGTGGTTCATTATGATGTTTTTTTATCAACTATTTGGACTTCTGACGGCACCCATTCACTGCTGAGGATCCATTGGTGAGCAAGTGATGTAATGTTACATTTCTACAAATCTGTCTGAATGAAGAAACAAGCTCAACTACATCTTGGATGGCCTGATGGTTAGTAAATTTTTTTAGCAATTTTTCATTTTTGGATGAACTATTCCTTTAATACTGTTTGAAATTTACTTTAAAGAAAGCATAGAACAGTGTTCGCATCCCATTTTAAATTCATAAAATGTTTTGAAATTCATAAAATGTTACTTTGTAATGAAACAGGATATTCAATGCAAAACTTTTTTTTATGTTTACAGCTGATTCAGAAACCATATTTTCCATAATGATGTGTCTGGCAGTGAAGTGCAGTACCACTAAAAGTGCAACAAGAGACCTGCTCCGCAACCTCTATCATTTTAGCTCGACACTCCCCACTCCTCCGAGACTAAAGTCTCTCTCCTTCCCCAACTTCAAATCACCATTGCATTGTACATGATTTAAAAGGATCAAGTAGCTCCTGTGGGAAATTTTTATGGTGATTGTTCCTGTCACCTCTCTCTCCTCTGTTGATAGCAACACAAGCTATGAGAGCAGTGTACACTTTAGAGGGAACTGGATTCCCAGAGCACCCAAAATCTAATCTTTATTATACTGAGGATTGAGGCCAACTTTTTTTTTTTGTCACTGTAATTAAAAAGCCAATCAAACTGCATGTTGAGAAAAGTGGTGCAGAGATGCAGATGATTCCAACTTCATCCAAAATCAAGCATATTAAAAGCACGGTTCTTCTGTCACAGATTCATGCAATTTTTCTTATAAATCCACCCGAATCAGTTTTACATATTCAACTAAAGTAAATATGTAATATTTCTCAGCTATTTGGTTTAAACCATGCAAAAGATAACAAAGCATCAACATTTGGGCAAAAAAAAGACAACAAATAAAGCTGGAAAAAGGCTGTGACAACTGAAAACCAAAATAAATAAATAAAATAATAATAAAAATGTATGTGCAGATTCCATATCCACTTGTTCTTTCTGCCTGCTGTATCTCTATTGTTAGTGTAAATGGAGTTCCTGGCTGTCAGTGACAACCCTGTCCACTAAACACTTCACATGATACAACGCTGCCAGATCTCTTTCTCAGAATTCACACTTTATATGTGTATAGGTCTCAAGGCTTGCACCATGCATCTGGCTGTGTTTGGCTAGTTCTGTCTTTGCTCATAGAGAAGGAAAAAAAACCTCTTTATACTATTATTATTATTATGTATTTATGCAGCTTTTCACTTAATTATTGTGATGTTTTTAACAGCTGTTTGGACTCTCATTCTGATACCACCCATTCACTGCAGAGGATGTGCATGAGCAAGTGATAATGCAAATTTTTTTTCTCCCAAATCTGTTCCAATGAAGAAACAAACTCATATACATTTTGGATGGCCTGAGGATGAGCACATTTTCTGCAAATTGTATTTTTATAGTTCCTTTAAAACCAGTTAAACCCGGATACGGGTCCAAAATCGCGTAAAAAATGTTTATGCTTAATTTACATAGCCTTCCTTATATGGTATCAGCCCATGTATGGGTTCATTTGAAATCTTTACAAAGAATACCATTCCTTTTGGTTTTTGTATTCATAAAGCAGTAGAATTAAGCTTAGAAATGTATTCGTCCCACACACAAATTTCCGCCTAACCATTGCGAATAATTTTTACGAAGAATGTGTATTTTATATATTTTTCACAAAAAAAGTCAAGTCATATATCACAAGAAAGCTCTCATTCTCAGGAATTTGACGATGTAGATTAATTCATTGTGTGACGATCACAGATCGAATGATATTGTAATAAACCTCTCTTTTAACTTAAAGAGGTTCAATCAAATTAATGGAGGCCAGAGGGTACATGTTTTGATTTTATAGAAAATTATCACTTTATTTGGCAATTGTACATAGAAAAATATAACCGTTATGTAAAGAGACATTTAAATAAGTCCAACGAACATTTCACTCTGTACACCTACACTAGGACAAACGGCGCTACACAAGTGAAACTTCAACACTGCACTCTAGTGGTTATTCCCAGCCCCGCACGGCACACTAGAAATCGTGGTCACACAATCAGTTTAACAGGTGAAAAGATCAGCGCCTCCCCAGTCCCGTACACGGAGAAGGAGTAATCATGTTCATATAAACTTTAAAACTCACAACTAACATACACACTCACACATACACACAACACGTGAAGAGACTTAAAATGTAAAACACTTCCCCGTTTCCAGGACACAAGACCCCACCCCGGGGTCTAGGGAAAGGAATCAGCCGTGCCGGACCAGTATCTTCAAAGAAAGCACGCGCTCCTCTTCGCTTTATTCTCGTCTCCGCAGTTACGGCAATTAATCACAACGTCACTGGCAGTAATTAGTCTTTGGTACACAGCACACTTCTCCTTGGGAATCACAATATCTGGAATACGCATGAGTCCTCTTTGCGCACAATACAGTCTCTTTGAAACGCTCTTGGAACATATGGTCAGCGCTCCTAAACCCTCCCCAGCATTATCTAACTACACAAATTCAATCTATCTAGCTATCTTCAGTGCCAGACAAACCCTAATGGTCTCGAGCAACACAAAGCGTCCCCATCTTCCCCTGAGCGACAAAAGCCCATCACGTTCACTCAGCCAAAAACACCCCTCCTCTCACCTGTTCTCCTCCTTAAACATCCTCCAGGTGAGTTCAATTATCCAGACATTGTCAATCAGAAGAGAACATGCTGCAAAAAGGTTCCTATAGGCGGGGCCAAAGCCCAACTAAGAAAAGAACTCCCCCAGCGTTCATCACACTATTCAATAGAATCGCAATGTAAAATTTTGTCACCTCTGAGCAAATTTACATTTATATTCGTAGCACTGCTTCAGTCAGCCGCAAACAGCCACAAATATCTATATACTCTATATTATCTTTTAGATTAGGATCTCTTCTTTCAAACAAGACCATTTTCACGTTTCTGCATGCTTCCATCGAGATATATAGCGTTTTGTCCAGGTTGCGAAATAGACGTTCAGCGGCGCCGTGGAGAGGAATGAATGCACGTCTGGTAAGGCTTTATGAGCGTGTGTTTGAGCGTTTTTGATATTTGAAACATTGTTTTGAAACGTGATAGCACAGCTAGCAATCTGATACACAGTTTATAGACAGAAAATTACAGTACATTATGCATTTCAGTGAATATACAGTAAATATACATGGATTATTACAGTGATGTGTGGATGAACTGATATGTGTTTGTTTGACGCTCTGAATGCTTCAGATAGCTGCCGGTTAGCAAATTAGCTCCACTCTGAAAGTACGATGGCGCCGACGGTGATGGCTGCCTCCGTAGCATGCTCTGCAGTTGTTTTTATGTTTTTGTTAGTTTGTCCTGTCTTTAGTTATATCCCTGCAATCAGTTTCACCAGAGACGAATTGCTGGACATTTGGCAGTACACACCACCCGATATTTCACCGGTTTTCGACTATTCTGATGTTTTGCTGGACATTGTAGTCGGGGGAGCTGTGGCGCTGATCAAGCGCTTCAGGACGTGCAGACGGGGGAAGCGAGCCGGCGCGCTCGTCAAGCTCAGACAGCGCGGATTCAGAACGCCGTTGCCGAGCATCCATCTGGCGAACCTCCGCTCTCTACCCAACAAAACGGACGAACTCCTTCTGCTCTCCCGGACAAATAAGGATTTTTCAAACTCTGCTGCTCTGTGTTTCACGGAAACCTGGCTGAAAGACGCCATTCCGGACAGCACGTTGAGTCTCCCGGACTTTCAGCTTTTCAGAGCAGATCATGACGCAGAATCAACGGGGAAATTGCGCGGCGGCGGGACATGCTTTTACATCAATGAGAGGTGGTGTACAGATGTAACTGTGTTAAAGAAGATGTGCTGTTCAGATCTAGAAGTGCTCTTCATTAACTGCAAGCCGTTCTATTCGCCGCGGGAGTTT